TTTTGGTCCAAATATAACTGCGGATGATTTTTAGGGGTTAATTTTGAGATTATGGGCACAAGATCAAATGTTCGGTATTTTTCAAATCTTCAATATCAAAGCCAAAGTACAATTTAGTGTCGTCAGCATAGTGATGAATACTGCACTGTTCAACGTACTCGTGGAAGTCAGAAATGTAAATTGAGAACAATAATGGTCCCATAATGGAACCCTGTGGTATCCCTAATTTAACTGGTATCTCCTCCGAGATACTTGACCTAATCACAACCATCTGACTCTTGTCAGTGAAATAACTTGATACAAAATTAGTTGCAGATTCCGAAAAACCAAAGTATATAACCTTTTTCACAAGAATAGATGGTTCCCAAGTACCAAAACCCTTTGTATAATCAAATAACACTAAGCATGCTAAATTTTCTTGATCCTCACATCTGGTTAAGTCCTCCGTGATGCGAGCCAGAACTGTTGTAGTGCCGTGGTTTTTCCGGACACGCGATTGGATTTTACGAATGATACTATTTTTCGGCCTCAGATGTGAAATATCTGTAGGGTTACTTATTTTAGCTAGGGGGAGAACATTTGCTTTTTTCCAACAGTTGGGGAGGTTTGACGATGCAATAACATAGTTGATGATGAAAGTTATATTTTCAATTAGCAAATCGAATATGATTGTTAACGTATTTAGGTTGATACCGTCAACATCCAAAGCATCACTTTTTATACTCATTTGGGAGAATGTCATTCGTTTTGCTTTACTGTGAAGGTAATTGGTTTCGGAGCAAATAGAGCAATATTCAAAGTAATGCAACCTTTGTCAATAAAAATCGTTCTAAGGTTCTGATGCAACAATAATTCCGCTTTTCTATATCTTCGGCCAAAATTAAGCAGTTTTCTGGACGACTTATCTGATCTCAACATAACCTTGATGCTCGTAGTCAAGTTATTAGCAAGGATATGTTCTCAACTCAAAGTTGCCCAAAATCTAGATAAGTTTCCCGTTAAAAATTCATTTGACCTTTGTGGTCATAGGACGTCATTGAACACAAATTTTCACAGTCATAGTCATAGTCACCATCTGATGAATCGTTCCAAACTTCACAGCTCTATTATACAATATCTTTCTCTATGAAACGTATGTTTAGAGATATTTTGTCCATGTCCTACTTTTTGGATACTCTCAAACACCCATGGATATTATGGTCTAGGTTATGGGCAAAAATATATTTTTACGAAAAATTTCCCGCTATTTACTTTGTTGCTGTCAAAAATAGAGGTTTCAGAAAACTGTCTAGACCTCCAAATGAATTTTCTCTAAGGAACGTATTTTTGAAGATATTTTGAACTATCCATAGTTTTTAAGCACCCAGCATATTCTCAGGGATGAAGTCATGCCTATAACCTTCCTCGGGTTTCCGTTAGTGAGTGTACAAATTTTTACGTCTCTAAAGTAAGACATATTTATACAGGGTGTTTCAGTTTATTGTTGCATAACTTTAAGATTCGATAGAACTTTTAAAATCAATGCATAAAGTCTATATAAACATGGGTCTAAAAATGCGTTGCTTCCGAAATACAGGGTATTTAAATTTACTTTCTAAAATAGTTTTTTTTTAAATATTTCTAACAATATTTGATGTATAACAGTGAAAATTGGTATACAAGGGTTTTCTGGTACGACAAAACGAACCATGGTCATAGTTTTACTGTAGCCGCTAGAGGGCGCTCTCTACGGTACCTGCAGTGTATTAAAATGACCTTAGTGCAATTTTTTACTTTTTGAATAAAAAAACTGATTCTTCGCACTTTTCAACATAAAAAAGCTTTCTTGTGAATTTTCGTTATAGTTAGCCGTTTTTGAGATATTTCGATTTTTAGGGTCCGATGCATTTTTAATTATACTAAGTGACATATAAATCCGAACACCCAGTTTAAATGGTTTTATTTTAATAAGATTTTTTATAAGTACTTAATGAAGCATAATGAGTAAATGATAAAAATTTGAAAACGATTGCACTGCTTTAAAGCCCTTTGACCTTTAATAATGTGTGGACGCACCCTGATGTGCTACGCATTCTCCAACGCGCATAGGCATGCTTCTGATCAGGTGGTCAATATCCTCCTGTGGTATCTCATTCCAGGCAACCACCAACTCCTCTTGAAGTGCTTCTAGAGTCTGAGGAGGACGTTGCAAATTGAGCAATCTCCTACCCATCATATCCCACACGTGCTCAATTGGGGATAAGTCGGGAGATCTTGGTGGCCATGGTAACAATCTGACATCATTATGTTGAAAGAAGTCTATTGTGACTCTTGCAACATGTGGTCGGGCATTATCTTGTAGGAAAGTTGGATCTGCCAGGGTGTCAAGATAGAGTAAAAGATGGGGTTCTAGAACTTCGTGGATATAACGCTGCGCGTTCATCTTACCTCTGATGAAGATTAAAGGTGACCTGGAACCATAAGCTATAGCACCCCAAACCATAACTCCAACAGTGTGATGAACATGTCTTTCAACAAAAAACTGTGGATTCCTCCTTTCACCACGTCGCCTTCTAACCCTGGCACGACCATCGTGCATGCCTAAACAAAATCGAGACTCGTCACTAAAGACAATACTGTTCCATTCCTGATCCCAGAGTGACCGTTGTCTGCGCCAGTCAAGGCGATTACGTCGGTGTTCTCGAGTTAAAGGGAGGACCCAGTGTGGCCGGTATGAAAACAAGCCAAAACTTCTCATTCGTCGGTAAACACTTCGCATGCCAATAGGTCTTCCGTGTTCTGCAAACCATTCATTTGCAATGGACCTGGCAGTGGAGAAACGGTCCCTTAAGGCCAATAATCTTAGGCGGCGATCTTCACGGTCTGTTGTTCTACGGCGGCGTCCAGTGCCCCTTGCTCTTTGCGTACGGCCTTCTCGAAGCCATGCCTGACAACACCTAACCACAGTGTCTACACTTCTTTGCACTCTAACTGAAATTACTCGAAAAGAAGGTCCAGCTTCCCGAAGTCCCACTATACGGCCCCTATCAAACTCATGTCAAGAACCAAAATCCGCCAACGTTGATTCTTTGCTGCGGCTGAAATATTCATTTTTAGAGCGTTAGTGAATTAAAAAAAAGCAGTATAAAAACCGGAATGTCCAACTGATAAGGCTGAACATTTTTTCACTTGTTATTTACAGTAAGATAAATACATTCACCAACGTTTATTAAAATAAAACCATTTAAACTGGGTGTTCGGATTTATATGTCACTTAGTATATTTATGATAAAATAACGTTAAAAAGTCAGTATCTCGATAATTTTTAGAAGTAGGCTGTGCCTGCAAATATTTTGGAAATTGAAAGCAGAATAAGGTTAAACGTCAATTAGTTGACAGTTAGTTTTGTTGTCTGTTGAAACCTGAAACGTTTGTTTGAAAAAACTAATATCTACATTATTACTTACCGAATTCATTCCGCAAGGTACTTATTTTCTCATTTTCAATAAAGGTTAAACCTAACGCAACAAAACTCGACAAAGTTCAACAAAGCACTTTCGGAATCTTCACGAAGCCACGAAGCTTGCATTGCTGGAGAAAGCAAACAGCAACAGTTGTTTTTAATCTGAACCTTTTTAATCTCAGTAACTAGATTGCGCAGTTGTTGTGCTGTTCAGCCTTTTTTCTTGTAACTCTTCTAATTTTCCTTCCATTACCCCAACCGGCTGCTGAGAGCAAAAAGACAGCATTCTCTGCAGATCTGCCAGTGAAAGCTTTGATATAATATCTCATTACAATTAAAAATCACAGGCATAGTTGTAGCTTTGTTCAGTCGTTCTCCACTTTTCTTGAATAACATACCTTGTTCGTACTCAACGGGATAAAATACCAGTACTAGTATAAATATTGGAAATAGTTACATTCGATATATAGGAAATACCAAATTTGTCTGACTGCTTGAGTTCAACATGTACGAGAGACAAGCGCGAGAAGTGTGTATCAACAGATGTTAGAAAGAGATAGAACCCGGCTGAAAAGCGAAGGACATCACCACAATGCCTAGCAACGGTGACGCAGAAAGCCGTGCAATCTGCCGCGTTGAAAACACGTCACACCAGAAAATGTTCGCACAGGCTTCTACATATAATAGGTTAGGTTTCGGTCAAACCCAAGAAGGTCTGTTCGAACATTTAATTTAATATTTTGTCAACACAAATCAACACATACTGAGTTACTGTTACATTTTGCGATAGTGGACATCACGCAATACAAATTATCACTGCCTGCGTGAATGCAGGCGAAAACCATTTCGAAGCAGGACGACACTCTCCAATGAGCGCTAGATAGGTACTGACCAAAATCGCTCACCTATGATCACGAAGGTGAAGCCTTGGAATGTTGTCATCCTGCGTAAATTGTGCTCAGTCGTAGTTAATGAGTCCTCAGTTCGTCTTGACTTGATTTTTGAATGCAAATGGTTGTGCTTTGGGCGCCACCTAGTTTCAAGCAGTAGGAAAAGAAATAACAAGTAAAAGAGTTGAATCTCTGGCGCTAAAGGAAATACAAGGTCGCAAACATTTATTGAACAAAGGAAATAAAAAAAATTTGAAAGAAGTCCTGGAGGACAAGCAAAAGAGTTAGCTTATACTAGCTAAATGGTTACCAGTAAAAGTAAAATAAAAATAGTAAGAAAGAAAACTTACTAGACAGGTGCTTGGCTATCCAGGTAGGCAACCGAGGGTATTAAGTCTCGGATGCAACTCAATTCCCCAAGGTAGAATCGGAAAGTAGAATCCGAAGGTAGAACCCTCGAACAATGGGGTACTGCTCATCCCAGGCGTGAGTCCTACATACATTTGCCACGGCGTACCACTGCAAACAGTCCCCCCACAGCTGGATGGCTTAATGTAGATATGACAACGGCTTAATCCCCAAGAGGGTGAGTTCTCTGCAATTCGATTCAAGGCTTTGTTTTTGCCCTTAGGCTGACTGCATTATTTTTCTTATTTTCAACCACATTGCTGTATTGTTTATCATGGTCAGCAGCTGAAGCTTTTGTTTTTGACGAATATTATTCTTGTGTAGTCTGCATTGTCAACAGGAACTAAAAACCACAGTTTATACACATAATATATACACAGAACATTCAAATAATTGAACTTGACAGTTTGAAGTTTTGATACGATACATTTTCATTACAGCTTCCCATTTAAAAAAAAACCTTTTCTGCTTATATCAGTATATATATATGTACACAAGGCTAATATTGTAAAACAAGGCGTGCACCTCAAATATCAGTCCTATTCAGTTTTTGACATTCTCTAAACAGGGAATTGATTCCCACAGTTTTCTTGTAATTAGTTGTGGAATGTTCTGCCATGATGGTACAAAGTAATGAAGAATTTAACTTCATGCTGCAACTCCATTTTCCCATTTACACCTTGTAATGTCTCATAATTGGTGCTCCTAAATGCCCATGCTCTTTTTAATATCCTGAAATCATGATTGTCAATTTACCATGGACTCAATTTCAGAACCTTTACACATTTTACATACTTGCTTAGCACAGCTTGTCTTCAAGTTCGTAAGTGTTAATTCTTATCATTATGACTATGATCATACAGGTTTTTGCCAGGCTTTAATTAACAAATTGCAGTGTAACACATATCTGTCACATAAATCAAATTCACGTTTTATTTCTGTAAGATCCCTTCAATTATGCCTGGATGCATAAATTCCTTCTTAGAAAGATCATTCACCTCCTTATCCTTCCAAAGTAAACATAGCATTTTACTGAGGAATCAACTTCTTATAAAGTCTGTGATAATGAATTACACCTGAAAATAATGCAATAAGTATATAATATGAATATCCAATGATTTGTTTTGTAACTTGCCAACCTTCGTCAAGAGAACAGCTTGGTTGTAAGCTTCTGGACTTTTATACAGGGAATTGATTCCCACAGTTTTCTTGTAATTAGTTGTGGAATGTTCTGCCATGATGGTATAAAGTAGGTAATGAAGAATTTAACTTCATGCTGCAACTCCATTTTCCCATTTACACCATGTAATGTCTCATAATTGGTGCTCCTAAATGCCCATGCTCTTTTTAATATCCTGAAATCATGATTGTCAATTTACCATGGACTCAATTTCAGAACCTTTACACATTATACATACTTGCTTAGCACAGCTTGTCTTCAAGTTCGTAAGTGTTCATTCTTATCATTATGACTATGATCATACAGGTTTATGCCAGGCTTTAATTAACAAATTGCAGTGTAACACATATCGGTCACATAAATCAAATTCACGTTTTTTTTTTCTGTAAGATTCCTTCAGTTATGCCTGGATGCATAAATTCCTTCTTAGAAAGATCATTCACCTCCTTATCCTTCCAAAGTAAAGATAGCATTTTACTGAGGAACCAACTTGTCATAAAGTCTGTGATAATGAATCACACCTGAAAATAATGCGATAAGTAGATAATATGGATATGCAATGATTTTTTTTGTAACTTACCAACCTCCATCAAGAGAATAGCTTGGTTGTAAGCTTCTGGACTTTCATACACACAATATAATATATCCATGTGCATTAATTTTCCTAACCCATCAATTTCTTGAAGATATCGCAGGTTGTGGAATTTGTTCAATGTAGCGAGGTATTTTTGAGTGATCGACATTATTTATCAGAAAATTATAAATTATAGTTCTGCTGTCATGTGTCTTGAACGTCAAAACAACCTCAAGCCAAAACTATCAGTATGTCGGAAATCAAAAGGAGAACATACATGTACGTTAACGAAGAAGACGTAATATTATCGAAATCAAGAAGGCCATAAACGAGCCCTACAATTGTAGGGACGACTGACGATACGGGCCTAAGTCGCCCTCAGCTCTAGTATTTACGGTCGACAGAAATTATAAATAATAGTTTAAAAAAAAAACACGATTTTATAGCTAACCGATCTAAGAAGTAAAAAATGATCTTTAATTACAAAGAGTTTATATCACAGAAGTAGATGGTCAAACAAACAATCATAACTAATGACCTCAAAATAAAATTATAATAAAATTTAAGTTGTTAACAGAATAACTCAATTCGGAGTAAAAAGCGTGGGGTACTCTGTTATTAACTTAAATTTCATTATAATTTTATTTTGAAGTCATGGATTATGATTGACTGTCCGACCATCTACTATTTTAATATAAACTCTTTGTAATTAAAAATTATTTTCTACTTTTTAATTTGATTAGCTATAAAAGCATGTTTTTTCAGTTTTGTTTAAACTATTATCTATTTTAAATCGTTTTGTTCGATTTATCAATTAGTTCTTTGTGGTATTGGAATATCTTACGAATCGTTATGGAATCTACTCATTTGATTTAAAGCTTCACTGTTACATGGGTTTTTTCTGTTAACTTCGACTGTACAACCTTGCATCTTGTGGACGGTCGAAGCCCAACCGAGGATTAATGGTAACATTCGCAATGAACTAGGTAAGAATGCACTACCTTGGAAAAGTATCTGCCTCCGTTGTGGAGTGCCGAGTGCTCAAACCAATAAGGAGTAAGTCCGAAGCTGCACGCATGCGCAGAACGCGCGCTAGCTCTATCCCTCTTACTCCCATTCAGAGAATAATTCAACAATCCTTGCGGTCCTAATAAAAATAACGAAGAACTGTTATCAAATTATTGCATTTTCATCGGTCCTTTTTACGCGTGCGAAATTTCAAATTAATCAAACTTCTGAAAATTGATAAAAATTATGCTCAAAGAAATAAAAAAATGATCTTTAAAGAGATGGAGAGTAGAGTATGATTCTCTACCATAAAGTTATTAGACCAAGGGCCGATTTCACCAGCATTATTATTATGGGAAAATACCTTATCGAGATGCAATTTGACGGAAGCTGTCAAAGGTGTCAGAATATCAGTGATTTCTATTAAAATGTTGAATAAAATCGTAAAAATTCGACTGTATTATAAACAAGACCACTTTTTGATTCCAACATGATGCTTTTATACAGGAAAAACAGGACAACTTTCATGTATTTTGATATATGTTATAGGTTTACATTTAACAATCCGTTATCCCCTCAGCAAATGGGAATGGGAGAAATAATAGGTCGATTTTCTAGCTGTTAAATTTGGCAGCAGGTTTGTTCGTTTGCTAATTCATGGCAATCTCGAAATTTGTTAAGTTCAATATACTGTGTGTATATTATGAGATCATTATAGCTACACATACCTGTTGAATTGTGCGGATTTGCAAGAAAATAGAATATAAAATGTATTCCAACCAATTCCTCATCTCTCCTTACATCATAATAGTAATCATTTGTTATAAATTCATGGATTAATGAATTTCTTCAAAGCAATCAAAACAGTATGGTCGTCCCCATCCTAAAACACCGATATGTGTAAAACATGTTAATCCCTACATCTCCGAGGTGCATAATGCCATTACTGTAGACATAGACCTAAAATTATTAGTAATTACTGAAAAATAAGAGCTAAAAAGAACTATAAATTGTGATAAAATATTGGTGGTTAAGTTTTTTGACTGGTGACTGGTGGGGATACCATATAGGGATGGCGACGATAGAGAAAGATTTTCCCCTGCCGGCCCTTGACATCGTTTCGAAATATGAAATTCTGGACACGCTATAAAAATAAGAATGGATACACAAAACAAAGCCTACTTGCCTATTTGAGACAAAAACAAAAACACATAACGATTGTCACCTTGACATCATTCTGCAATCTGTCAAAGTAGTGATGCCTGCTGCACGGTATACGATAACATACTTTTCTTTCTACCATGGATGCGTGAAAAAAACAAAATACGGAGAGATCTAAAATAAGGAGTTATTGAAGGCCTAAAATAGCCAGGCTCTAATAATTCCTGGCCGTATTTGAATATCTAAGCAGGCACAGTAGAACAAAAATAAGAGTTGGAATTAATTAAGTTTATTTCGATAGTCGGCAGAGTTTGCTCCACTGGGTAGTGGTGTTGAAAGAGTAATCATATGAAACTCGAGTACTCGTTACTGATAGATACCCGAAGTAACGAGTACCAATCCGAGCACGAAATGATTACTTTGATTACTCTGTTTTCCGTATCCCTACCCGGTACCTGTACAATCGTTGATCGTTGAGTGGTAACGCTGGATAGACTGTAGCACTACCGCTCATGCACCAGGGTTGCCAGATATCCCACATTCAGGTGGAAACCTGGAAAATCATTTTTTTTTATTGGCGGACAAAGAATTTGGCAATTGTTTTTAAATCTGAAGTTTACCTATTTACACCGTGACAAGAATTAGCTTTTATTGTTGTGATCTTGGGAACCTGAAAAGGAATAAGTAGTCGATTGGATCCGATCAAAGTTCGGCAGTATTATGAGTCAGAAAAGCGACAACAAGGTAACACTACCGTTCAGGAAAACCACAATAATAAAAGTTATGTCAATTTGACTCGTGTTTCCATGCACTGCTTTGCTAAAAAAATTATAATTCAGTATGGCCACCAATAGTATGTGTAGACCAAGCTCAACGTAGAATTTTTTATACCGGTATACTGCTTAATTGAAATGCTTCGAAAAGTCACATGCCATTTCGAATTTCCTTAAGCCCATACACAGATCATCTATCTGACTAAAAGACATGTTTTTAAGTATTTCTAGTAAATACAAAGTATTTTCAGTTTGTAGGCTCATATGAGTCATATGACACTCCTTCCTATGAGAACTCATCTCGATAAGCATACAGTTTGAAGATACAATGTTTGCATTAAACACGATAGTCTTGAATAAACTATGCTTATAACATTTTGCAAATTTTAAGGTCGTCTATTTTCTTACAAGATTCGGTTCCATTCAACTTGTTTAAATTCGACATTAATCACACGACGCACATTGCCAAATCGTTATACTCATACTACTCATAGTAATCAAAGTAACGAATACAATAAACGATTACTTTTTAGAAGACTAACGATTAGTAACAAGTACTCGAAAGTAACGATAACCAACACCACTACCACTGGGACGAAGTGTTGACGGATCCCACAGAATTATGTGTCACTTGTCGATATGGTTAGTTTTAAAATATCAGGAGATAATCAGCTGTTATTCAAATCAGTGTATAAAATGTTTTGCGATTCAAATAGCGTCTAATATAAATATGACCCAGAATATGTACTCAGTGCAACAAGAAAGTTATTGCAAATTTCTAGTTTTTCTGCAGGTTTTAAGTTTGCCGGGAGGTTTACGACATATGTTTGAGTATTTGTTGATCGCTGTGAATTTAGTGTGCATGTTTGTTAAGTTCCTGAACAACGAAAAATATTCAACTTTATGGATCTATAGATATTAAAAAACCAGAACGGTTTTGTGGGAATATCAATGTAAGGTGCCATAATGGTTCTGATGAACGGCAAGTAAATGAATGAATGTTTGGAAACGAGCAATATCTATGAACTTTTTGGTAGAGCCAGTCATCAAGTAGGTGCT